AATGTGGTAGCTCAGTGGTTAGTAACCAGATTTAAAAGATAATTTGTGGTCTATGTGATGGACTTGGCCTGAAGAAACTAGCCACCCTGTGAAACCATCACAGTGGGCTCAGCGTAGTTCTGCATACTTGTGCTGTGAAGTGTCTGGCTTGGGTGTGTTGGGTCCAAGATGCTTGTGTACCGTGCTCCCCACGGTATCTTTAGGGGCCCCAGGATGATGCAGGAATTAAGAGGATGTATTACAACACAGTTGTCCTGATAGCATTTACTGGGGAAAGCTCAACTAAGGAGTGGTTCGTAAAATGCTCATTCTCTAGAGTGACCTGAGTGCCCATGATCTGGAAGAGTGCCACACTGGTATTGAGACTGCTCCACAGAGCTCTTAAATCTGTCAGCGTTTGGCTGATGTGCTTAGAGATGGAGCATGCTGGCTCTGAATCCAGTCATTAAAGCTGCAGCAGTGAGTCAAAAGTCAGAGCTGAGTTTCTATTAAAAGCTACCTTTTTTGCTGTCCCCTGCAAAGGAGTGCTGGCATGTGCCTCTCTTGCAGCTCCAAGCAGAGGCATGAAAAGTTCCAGAAGCTCTCTGCAAAGTGCTGTGGTCTGGACAGCAGAGCTGCTGTGTGTGAGCAGATGAATGGGAAATGTGTTGACCCTTCAGTTAAAATTTCCCACACAGATGTGGGCAATACTTAGTTGTTTGCATTTAGGGTTTTTTCTTAGTCTGAGTAGTTACCTGGTGTTTGCTGCTTCACTTCAGCATCTTCAGGGATGCTCTTGACACCAGAAATTGCTGATGCATCTTGCATGTGTGCTGGAAAGGTTTTTTCTCTTCTACAAGCTGTCTGATTGGGAGGGAGACAAGGTTAACTTCCCTGGAAGAACTGTGGTTTTACTGAGTGGCCCCAATGACTTGAGAGCTTTTTTAGGTGGGCAACTTCTGCCAGGTGCTTGTGCCCCATCCCCCAGGAGGGGGTTTGATGGGTAACCTTGCAGGCAGGGAGTTGGAGCAGGATGGTTTCAGGTTGGGGGGTTGAGAAATAAGATGTGGTCTCTTATACTGATGTTTCCTAGGCTACCTGCAGAGGCTGGCTTTGGGGGGCACAACCTGATTGCTAAGCACAAAGGAGGAAATGCAGAGCATGGCTCATGGCTCTTCCCGATGTCCCTGTGAGTGGCTGTAGGTACCAAGTGAAGCTGAATCAGACCCACTGGGGTGATGTGGGGTCTCCCACAAGCTCAGTGTAGCCTGCAGAGTGTGTAACAGTGCTGCCTGTGCAGACCTGTCAAAGCTTCTGGAGTGGATGAAATCTGTCTGCATTAACAGCAGGATGTCAGCACTTCCAGGACATGAGGTTAGGAGTGGGTCAGTTGTAGCCAGCAGGATTTTTCTTGCTTTTAAGTGCTGAAACTTGGATGCCCAGACAGTAGGTCCCTTTAGAGGCTACTACTTGAATGCACTCATACTGGTCTTACTGGTTTTCTGGCTGTGGGGAGAGCTAAGAAGTCTTGGGAACAAACGTGTGAGCAGTAGCTGTAGCAAGCCAGCGTGGTGGTAGAGATGAGGGTAGAATACATGGGGCAGAGCAGTTGGACCCTGTAATGCCTTTGGGAACTCCTGATGAGCTCCTGAACCCTTGCTGATGCATCCCCAATGGAGTTCTGGCCTAGCATTTCCAATAACCAGGAGATAGGATGCAGGACAGCATTGCCTGGCAGCAATCTGTGGCATTTGCTGCTCCAGGTCTCTAAACACTGTGCACACAGGGTCAGCGCAGGGCTGCTTGCTGCCTGGTGTTACAAACCCACTGTGCTCCATGGCAGAGGAGGGTGTCAGCACTGGAGTGTTTGTCGGCAGCGAGGCTTGGGCCATGGGATCAGCTGCTTTGCTTTGACTCTTGTACTGTTTAGTGACTAATCAGATTTTTGAGCCTGTTTAACAAATTCAGCTGTCTCCCTTGAACAATACACTGGCTGTATTTTTAAACACATCACGTGGCTTCAGAGAAGTCGGCAAACCAGTGTAGTGCAGCTTGCCTGGGCTGGGAGATGCTCTGCCCTGCTCTGTGCTGTGACTAGGAGGGAGCAGTCTCCTCCCCGGCTTGAGCCGTCTGCAGCAGCTTTCCCTCGGCTACCCACTGCCGCTAGCGGGGCTGGTGCTGCTCGAGCTCTGCCCAGGGTAAGTACTGCTGGGCCAGGGAGGTTTTTCTGTGACTCTGGGGTTGGGTGTAAGCACAGGTGCTGCTGTCAGAGAGCCAAGCAGATATTCAAAGGGCAGGAGGTCCCTTTCCAAGTGTGGTCAGAGGTGAGTTCATGGTCCCGTGCTGCAGTCAAAATGGGTCTGCGCCTCTGCTGGGGAAACTCACAGGGATGAAACTCTACATATGTGGGAAGGTGCTGTGACTGTTGCTGAGGGCTCCTGCAGACCAGCTCTGCCTCAGGTTGAGACTTCAAATAAAGGACACACCTGTACCTGACTGGGATTCCTGTTGGTGTGAGGTCTCTAGCCTCATACTACAGGCAGAAATGCCAGCTCCCTGCAGGTATGCCACTGGATAATGCTCCTTGGGACAGATATATCCCAGCATCTTGCTTCAGACATGCTCAGCAGCTTTCTCTGACACTTAAAGAGTTGGTTCTGGTGACTGTAGTGCGCTTGAGCTTGATGTCATTTTTTTACTCACTTAGTTTGGACAGTGTTTTGGAATACTAATCCTCTTCTGCACAAGAGCTACTGAAAATCTGGGTTAAAAACCTTGTGGTCCTAGCTGGTTGAGATCAATAAGGCTGGAGGATATCAAGTGGACCCCAGACTTGCTTTGCTAAAAACTGAAAGCTTCAGGGCAAGCTGTCTTGTTTTGCAGCCTCTGAATAATTAAAACCATTTCTGAATGCTTTGCTCTTTTCATTTGGTTTGGGGACACATTCAGCTTGCTGAGACTTGCTGCTTTTGAATAGAACTGATTGGTGTTGTGCCCCTGTGGGATCCTATGTGGCCAAGCCTGCCCTGTGTTCCCTCTCATTCTGGGTGGCAGCTGGCCCCACACCACTGACCCACAGCACAAGATGGGACTTATCACCCCTCAGCCTGGTGTTCTGCTGGGGGCGGGGGGTGCGAGCTGGCTCTGTTTTTAGGGAGGAATTTGCTTGCCTTGATTCTCCTCAGTGGGAGGAAAACCTGCTGCTGTGAGAGGGAAGCAGTCTGGCGCATACTTGTCTGTCGGCTCTCGGGCAAAGGCCTGACCAGACAGGCTTGTTGTGAACGTGTACCAAGGACAGTGCTTGCTGCTGCCTGTGAAGCACCTCCTTTGTCAGCGGGCCAGACTGGCACATTGCTGCTGCCAGCTCCTGTTGGGGCTGACGTGTGTGGCGTCCCACCTCTGAGCCTGCAAATGCCTGCTAATGGGTCAAGCCTTGCTCCTCTCAGCCTGGCCATTGGTGTGTGCAGCAAACACTGGCTGTGGGCCCAGTCTGTACCCACTAAAACTCCATGGGTAGCTGACCCCTGGGTCCCAGCTTGCTCCAGCACAAGCAGCAAGAAATGTCAGTGTAACAGCATGAGCTGGGGAGGGGGGGGGGGGCCTGTCTGGAACACCTGTATAGAGGGCTGTTTCTTCTAGACCAAACTGGGTCTAGCCTGCTCCCATTCCCTAAAGCGCAGCTAAATTTGGAAGCCAGTGAGCGAGGCGAGTGTCTCTTGCTGACCCAGTCTGCTACTGGGTTTGCGTTGCAGTGTGAGCAGCAGCTCTGGGTGCCAGCAGGGCAGCCTGGCTCCAGCCAGCTCTGCAGGTGCTCCTGCATGGCTCAGCCTTGGGACCAGAGCCTAAAGCCAGGGCTGGCCTGCTCCTGGCTCTGCTGTGGTGTGAAGGACACAGCTGGCTTGCTAGAGAGTTGATTCTCCTATGATCCACCCTGGAGAATCAGGAGCTTGAGCAAGGGTGCTGTAAGTGGCTGCAGCCACCCTGGGCTCTGACGATGGCAGGCGGTGGGGGGTGGCAGAGCTTTGTGCTGGCCTTGTTTGTGAAGGTCAGGCCTTCCCCAGCACAGCCTCGGCGTGGGCGGCAGTGCCGCAGCAGTGCACAGCTAGATCCGCAGAGTGGCTAGCACTGAGCTGCACAGTGTCTCACATCCCTGCTGTTTTATTAATCCTTGCTTTTACTCCCTCTACCCTGGGAGAGGCACGTTAAACTTGAGTGGTTGGGTCCGCAGCCAGCTGAGCCCCCACCCTGGTCAGACAGGCTTGGGAGCTGGTCTGCAGAGGGCAAGAGCCAGCTGGCTGCCTGCAGAGTTCATGGGTGCTGCCTGGAGCAAAACATGAGGCTCCTCCTGGGGTGTTTGGTGCTCCTGGGGGTGGTAGCTGTGCTTGAGGCTGTGCAGGCCAGGGGAGCTGTTGGCTTTGTGGTCTGCAAGGTACCTCCGGTTTAGCAGTCCCTGCTGCTGACAATTTGGCATGGGTTCAGTGGAAAAAGGCTGCAGGGGCAGGCCTTTCCCAGGGTAACTGTGACCTCATTAGGCTCCTGGGACAGGTGAGGTGGCTGCTTTCCTGCCTCTGCTAGTACTTAGAGGGTCTCAGGAG